CCGTCCTTCTACATCCTTGAATTTCAGAGGGTCAGCCCCTTACTGATCTTCCCGATGCTTTCTCCAGCTTCTTCCAGCTCTCTGGGCAACACCCACCACTCAAACCCACCACGTTAACGCCCCTGATCCCTTCACCCCAGCCACTACAGAACAATCCCTGTTCTGTCCCTGCTTCCTGCTCCCAACGCAGCATCCTCTTCTCCCGCAATACCAAGTGTCCCTCACTTTGACAAGTAACAGGTGACCAGTTTGGAAACCGTCGTTTATACCCAACACACGTGGATTTTTATTTATTTTTTTTTCAATCTACACTTTGGCCTTTATCCACCAGCCTCAAACAAAAAAGGAATTTTTTTCTGGGGTTTAGGGTGGTTGGGTTTGGTTTTCTTTCTCCCAAAAGCAGCACTAAGGAAGCTGAAGAAAAAATACATTTTTTTTAATAAATAAATTTGTAATGGCTACTGCCTACCTTGCGACAGCCACGGACGTCAACACACGGCTGTAGTCCCTCCCAAGGCCGCCAGCAACTGCTTCACACCCCCAGCTGCTCCAGATACAAGCACAATTTGTAAAGAAAGGCCAAAGCAGAGGGAATTTTTAGCTGTGTTAACGTACCCCACTTTGTTTGAGTTCCTCTCTCAATCCTGGGATGAAGCCGGCACTCCTTACTCACCAGCTCCCGGGGAATCCCCGTGAGCTTTGCTTCCGAACCCCGCAGGGCCCTGGAGCGCGGGGCTGTCAAACACAAGAGGAAGGAGAGAGCACGGGGGAAGAGGAATCTCTGCCATTCAGCGCTTTGCACAGAGCTGCTGCCTGAAAAACCCCGGCTCGCTGGGGGAGCGGGAAGTTTGACTCGACAGAGAATGCAACCTCCCCTACGTTGAACCCAAGGCATTTTGGGCAGGAAGAACCCAACGAAGAAGTCACCTCTTGCTTTGTTCCACGCCTTCTTGCAACAGAGTGGTTTTTCGAGGAGAAATCCCGCAACGCGCCAACGGATTCTCGCATCCCCGTTGGAGCGGCTGCTACGCCCTACGTCACCCAGCACGGGAATACAGCAAGGAAGGGGAACCAGACCAAACACAGGCCTGGTCAGGAGCCCTTCGAGCAGGAAAATGAGCAAGAGGGGGACGCACCCCCGCTAGAACGACTCCATTTTGCACACGGGCTCAAACCGCCACGCGCGCTCCGACGCCTCGAGCAGGAGCTCCACGAGCTGCCGCTCCCCAAAGCTCTGCGAGGCGGCAACGCGGGGGCAGGGGTCACCACGGAACGTGCACGACGCCTGGAAATCCCTCCCAGGTTTTTGTCAGCCTGGCAGGTTGTTGTCGGCCAGTGAACGGCAGAACGCTTGTTTAGCACCGACGAGAACGTGCCGTTTCCCCACAGGATCATTGTCTTAACTTTGTTTTCATATAAGCGCTCCCCAAAGCTCTGCGAGGCGGCAACGCGGTGGCAGGGGTCACCACGGAACGTGCACGACGCCTGGAAATCCCTCCCAGGTTTTTGTCAGCCTGGCAGGTTGTTGTCGGCCAGTGAACGGCAGAACGCTTGTTTAGCACCGACGAGAACGTGCCGTTTCCCCACAGGATCATTGTCTTAACTTTGTTTTCATATAAGCAAAGTCTTCCACGGGACGGGGGGGCAGCAATTTACGCCCATGCTTTGGGGTGTGAAACCCAAAACTGGGTTGGCTTTCCAGTTTGCTTTCCGTTGTGCCGGAGGTGCCCGTTTATTCGCAGCGTTTCTGACAGAAGGCATTTCAAGACCGCGAACGGCACCGATAGCAGCGTGGCAGCTGATGAGCTTCCGCGGAAAAAAGTTTCTCCAAGTTGGACTTTTGGTCAGGGCGCAACGCTCAGGATACAGAAATGCTCTGGCAGGGAAGGTCTGCCTTTCACTTGAGCTATAATAAAAACAATATTCTATGCTTCAGCTATAATAAACCGCACAAAAACCAGAGGGAGGGAGAGAGAGAGAGAGAGAAAGAGAGAGATGGCAGATACACCGAGAACCTGCAGCGTAGATAATCAAACCCTTTATTGTCTAAGTTACATTAGACTTGCAACACCATAAAAACCTGTTCAGAAGAAGAAACAGCAGATTGGTAGAGGTAGTAGAAAGTCCCTGTAACAGTCATAAAAGGGCTTTACAGGAGCGTGCCATGCCCAAGGAAGTTACCACGTTGCTTAAAAAGAGCTGATCAAAGCCCATGGACTAAATAAATAAGGAACACAACTCGTTTTAAATACTGCGGCCTAGCTAAAATAACAAATCAATACAATACAATGATAAGGAAGAAAAAAGAAATTGTGGGATTTGCTGCTGGAAACAGATGGTCTTTAAGGTTGGGCTTTCCCCCACCCACCCTTATTTCTTGTTTAATTAAGTGAAAATCTCATTTCTGTGCTATACACAGCATATAATTATTTAAACTGATTTCCCCTACTGTTGTTCTTCGTGGAGCTAAATTATGATTGTAAACTTTGCTGATTAGTACCCTGGTAATGGCAGTGACAGCACGAGCTTCTCTGTCAGAGAGATTCTGGAAGAAAAGCTCCAGAAAAAAAGCTTTTGGCTCTAAATATTAACTCAGATTTTCTAAATCAGCTTGCAAATTAAAAAAAAAAAAAAATTACACTTAAAAAAAAAATTACAAATGTACACTACGCTTTTGTGCCATTTTGGGTACAGAAGAGTTTTTAATAACTAAAACACAAACAAATAGGCTAAGCAACTAGCTGTTGTGCAGTCCTGAACTGCGTTACTTTCACTCGTGGAAAACAGGACTCAGAAAAGCAACAAAACAAACAAACAAAAAAACCCCCAAACAACCAAACAGAACAAACCGAGAAAGCTAGTGCAAACCCAAAATGATAATCATTAAGCAACACAGCAAAACATTTCGTTTTTTCTTTTTTTCTCCTTTTTTTTTTCTTTTTTTTTTGGTGTACAGTGGAATGTGTCTATGCGACCTCCCTCAAAATAACTTCACAGAACAGTTAATTACAGTCACTTCGACGTATTTGCACAGACATTCCTAACTACACCGAGACTTACAGAGAACTCTGGTACACATCTGGTGTAATAGCATAAGGAAAAACTAGGGTTTTTTTTTTTAAAAAAATACATAAGAAAGTTAATTTGCATTGTTGCAAGTGTTGCGAAGTAACAAAAACCGTCAAGTCATTTAAACCGAGGAACAAGTAGTATCCAGAACCAAGTACTGACTAGATTTATTTTTTTTTTTTAAAAAAAAAAGCAACCCCCCCCACCCACCAAACCTGTTAGAACAGAAAGATCACGCTTTAAGGTTTTTTTTTCTGCTTTTTGTTGTTTGTTTGGTTGTTTTTTTTTTTAAAAACAAATCTTTGTGTCAGAAGCCCGTTTCTACAAAACCAGCACTATGCCGTTATGGTATTAAGTAAACTGGTGCTCTCACCTGTATTAAAGGTTAGCATCATTTCTGTACATGTAAAATTATTGCTTTTTGGAAAAATATATTTAGCATGCTAGGTTTGTTTTTTTTTTTTTTCTTTTAATCCATTTCCTGCCTTTACAAAATGTTACAATTTAAAAAAAAAACTAGTAAAGCTTTTGCAAAAAATTTTCACAGAACGTTTTCTTTCAAGGCAGCAGTTAACTTCTGATAATGCATAAAATTATATGTGCAAAATCTGAAACTCTCAGAAATATTACCATCACACATAGTGTCACAGCAATAAGGAAAGAAAATATTTATATCTGTGGAATACGTCTTTAATCGCTTGCGCTGCGTGGTTTAACAACCTGTTATGTGCCACAACCCCACCTTGAAAACTTGCAGTTAAAGAGTTACTGTAGAAGAGGTATATAAAGCTTTTTTGTCTTTTTCTCTGTTTTTTTTTTTTTTTCCTAACACCACCAGTGATCACCAGGTACAAGACATGACACATTTACACGAGCGGTAACCTGCCACCACAAAAGAAGTTCCTCGGCTTTCCAAAGCGTCACCGGGGCCCAAGGAGAGGCGGCAGCTGCCGAACCGGGGAGGGGGCGGGAGCAGAGAGCACCCCGCGGGCCCGGGGCTGCCCGGGCTTGTTCAGCAACACCTTTTCTCTTCTAAACACCTCGATCAGCGGCGTTGAGAGAGCCGAGCGCTTCGTTGGGTTGTTTCTTTTCGAAACGTGAAGACTTCCTTTGCGATCAGGTCGAAGAAAGTAGCCCTGTTACAAAAAAATAGAAGGTCCTGAGAGTAAAACACAGAAGCCTGGGTTGGTTGGTTGGTTGGGTTTTGTTTTTCTTAGTGTTCGACTAGCTTTTCTTTCCCAAAGCAGAACAGAAGCTTTCCTCTGGAAGCGTTTCCATTTCCATATTCACATATTAACGGTGCGCAGTCACGAGCAAGAGCACTAGAAACGCGAGTGGTCCCCAACCCGCCACGAAACAAACCACTGCCAGAACGACCCTCTTCCTCTTCAGTCCCTTTCATCCTTCATCCTCAGCACCAAACGCCACCTTTTCCCTGCACCCCCCGCCCCGTTCTTCCTCTGTGGGGTTCGGTTCGGTTTTTGGTTTTTTTCATTCGCTTTTCAGCGTGACAGGCAGTGGCGGTTTCATTCATCACCGCTTCTCCAGCCCTCGCATCCACTGCTGTTTTTCAAATCGTCATTGTGAGCATCGGGGAGGTTTTTGTTACAGTGCTTAACTTCTTCATGCTGTCCAAATCACATAAACTTTAATTTTTCCAGTGTCTCAAACTTCTCTTGATTAATATAGACGCCTTGTGCTGCCACAGTGCTTGCCAACTCCGCTGTTTATTATAAAGGAAATAAGGAACCATGGGACTGATTAGGACGTCAATTTATATATATCTCGTGTAGCGTCTTCATTTATTTTAAGAAGATGAGCAGCGCGGAGGCGCCCCCCTCCTCGCTGGTTCCAGTCTCCGGGCGAGGCGGTGGCTGGCAGGGAGGCTGCTCTGCAGCGCCGGGGGCTGGGGGGGCTCCTCCGCCGGGGCTCTAGGGTCCCTTCCGGAGGGGCAGCGTGGGGGGCAGCTCCGCACCGCCGTGGTCTCTGCCCTGCAAGGAGGAAGACACGGGGGGGGGGGGGAAAAAGCCAATGCGGGCCTCGGCGCGCCACCCTCCAGCAAGCCCTGCTGGCGTTCGTTACCCTTTATTAGCATCACGTACGCTCGTTTTGGCCCGCCGCGTCGCAAGTTTTGGGGGGTTTTTGGGGTTTTTTTTAAAGCATCTCCAGCCACACCGGAGCACGTCAGGCTCATATAAACCCCCCGACGGACCAGAAGAGCAAGTAACGGTGCCTGACAGAGCAGCTCCGAAAAGGTTGAGGACAAGGAGGGGGAAGAAGAGGCCTCCAAAAAGCGGAGTTTTGTGCTAGCCAAAAGGCATTCATAACTAGATGAGCGTTTTTTAAAAGGCTGAAGTTTGAGGGCACAGAGGCAGCTGAAAGGGGAAAAACTGAATTCGTGGGCAGGTCTGTCAAAAGCTAAGGCGGCTT